TGCTGCCTGAGCTATTTTATCTTCAAGAGAAGAAAGGTGCTGCAAAAATGCTGAAGCCAACACAGACATTCTTTCCATTTACAGAAATGCTCAATGCAAAGAAGCCAACCTCTAAGCAAACAAACAAACAAACATACAAAATAATAGTGTTTCTCTTCAGTGTGGAAAAGATTAACAGTTGCTTTTTGACACTTTTTTTTAAATCAAAAGCAATGCATCTCTCCAGCTACCTTGAGAACTTAATTCCATGAAATGTGGGAAAGACTATAATTTAAATAAGCAGCTAGGCAGACATTGTGCACTTGGAAGTCAATTAAAAGTCAGAGCTATAAGTTGTGCTTCGAAGTCAGACAGATGTTTCTGTACCTGATTCCTGGCAAGCCATTTTTGCAGCACAAGAAGCCAAAGCCATGCAGTTCTCCACGGGCTAGAATTCTCTCCACATCTACAAAAGCAACAAGCACATACAACACTGGATTACACAAGGTCATTCCCATTTTGAAGATCCTGGAAAAAAATGTCAGATGTAATTTTGATTTTTGTATTTCTTTGTGCAAGATAAAGCCAAAGATGACTAAATAGCTGAAGATGAGTCAGAAAGGAGAAGAGTGCAGAGAAACCAGAATATTGGTACTACTTACACATTAACTCAAAGATTTCTGCTGTGCAAATAACTGCTTTTAGATCTGCCAAATACCAACACAACTGCCACAGTTATTTGGTTCAAAACAATGATATCTACTTCTGGTCTGAAGTCCAGCCTGTATAGCCCTCTTTGAGCACTTCAGCAGATTTCTTTGAAATCTGACCGCTTGCCAAGCACTGACATTTCCTGTTTTGTCTAGTTCTACCCCAAAAACTGAAACTAAGCTTTAGGTCACAGCAGCACAAGTGCAGGTTTATGTTCAAACTAAAAGTGAAGTACTGTGCTAATTAAAGAAAGAACACTTCTCATTTCCACCTGTTTTTCACGTGCTCCACTACTTACACGCACATTCCAAAAACTACACAGTCAGGGAACATATTCAGTACTGCCAAAGGGACTAGGAAAAGGAAAAAGCCCAAGATAAGTTCATTGGCCTATAACAATCTCAGCATTGCTAACTAAAGCCTCAAAGACAGATCAAAAATGCTGTGTCTCACACAGTTGTTAGCAATACTCATCTAACCACGTGCACATCTTCCTCCAGACTCCTTCAGTTGCTGTCCATGCAAACTCTTTCTTAGGACCTTTACCAAAAGGTTACACAAATTTTAAAGTCCAGAAGTATGATCACCTGCTTGTAGATGGGGAAAACAAATGTTCCCTGAAGTGCTAGAAAATTACCTTTCATATGCATATCTTTTCATACACCTGAAAAGCAGAGACCAAAACCAACTAGGATGGAGTTAAACTAATGCCATTTCAAAACTGAGTACAAGATAAATGAGAAATCAATAGCATAATTTGAAATATTTGATTTTTTAGAAATTGGAAGGTCTTTCAAGAGCTTCAACAGAACAAGAGAATATTGTAAATAACCACAGTTCTGATCTTCACAAGATCTAAATTAACTAAAATTAATCTAAATTAACTAAAGCTTGGTATCAAAGGAATGTAATTTCAGGACATGATCCTTATTACCTTCAGTCAAACCTAACAAAATCAGTTCTGAAGTGCTTTCAAATAGTTTTAAGCTTGTATCAATCACCATGTCAACTGCATAAATGAACACAACTCATTATCTCAGAGGGCTGAGCAGCCTGCCAAGTGCTCGGGCAGTGGCAAGACAGTACCTTACTTACCTCACCCCCACGGGACAAGCCACCAAAGCCTGAAGAATCGCTTCCACTTTCTCCAGGCCATCCCGGTGCCACTGGCTCAGCTGGGGCACACAGGCCTGCGCCAGCTCCCAGTCTCCATGCCGCACACACTCACAGAAAAACCCGAAGAGCCGCTCCAGAGAGACCGCTTCTTCATGTCCAAAAGCGTGCGTGTTGGCAGGACCAGCAGGTGACCTGGGGCAGGGAGGGACACGAGAAGCTGACGCCGCAGGGGCACGCTGGGCAGCACCCCGCACCCGCTGGCACTGACCGGGCAGGGCGGGCGAGGCCCGGCCCCAGGGGCTTCGGCCCCGCGGGGCAGGCCCT